AATGTTGAACGTTATTCCAAACATATTTACCGTTAAAGATTTTTTTATTAAATGTGAAAGAAATATATTTGTCTGCAACAGTAATGCATTGACAAAGTGGGCGAAATTAAATAAAAAGATAAAGGAAAAAGAGAGCAAAGAAATTTTCCCAAGAGCTTTGTTCTGTTGACCAAACTACTTATTACATAACAAGCGGAGAGGACCAGTCACGGCTGCTGTTATTATGTTTTGTTGTTGTTGTTGTTGTTGTTGTTGTTTTTGTGTTTATTTTATTTTTTATTTGTTAGTTTTTTTAAAGTTCTCTCCTGCTTTCAATTCTCCGACTCCCTTCGTACTGTAATACCAAACGAAGTGAAAGTAATCCAGGCTTTTTTTTTGTGCAAATTTTACTGTTCCTTATTGTTACAAATCAAAGAAAAGAAAATTATAATGACTTGCTAATCATGACTTCTTCTAACGGCCGCTATAATGCTTACATCTAAGCTCTACTGCTAAATGCTGCTGGTAATATTTTTGCCACTATTAGTCCTACTGTTACCACCACCACCACCTCCACTACTCCTACAGCAGGGAGCTTAAACAAACCACAACGACTACGGCAACGAGAACGTCACACAAACATCACCAAACAAAAGGTTTGATGAGCAAAACAATCATGTTGTGTACGTGCGTTTTAAATCTTTGTACATTTCCCAGCATCCTCTTTACAACAACAACGTGGAATGACCAAATTCTGGGTAGTCTGAGGAGCACGAACAACGACGGTTTCTTTTTTCCTATTCCATTTGGAATCGAACGATGTAATTGAATATTTAGCCTGAGCAGGTTTTTAGAGCCATAGGAGTTCTGAACAGATCTAGACAATTGTAAATTTCGCTAGTAAAATATAAATTCATTTTTGACTAGGACTCTTCCTCGACGTCACCGTCGTGGTTGATTAAGCCCCAACTAATTCCACCACCACTACCTTTATTACTACTTCTTAAAATTACGGCCTTAACAGGAATGGCGAAGAGAACTTAAAGTGCTTAAAAGGTGCATCTTCTGTTCTTCGGCCAAATCAAACCTCGACAGCAGCGGTTTCGGTGGGAATCGTAGACGCGCCTTCCACAGCATCTTGGGTAGACCCCAAATTTGCGTTGTATGGTACCTCGGCAGCAGAGCTGGAAAATTTGATCGTAAGCGGATCTCCCACAGCACCTCACTCGCACCCCAATCTTGTTGTTTATGCGACCACGGCAGCATATTTGCCTAGCGGGGTTGTACCACTGTCCTCTGCGGCATTGCACAAGCCTTGTTCGCCATTGGGGCTTACAAGATCTAGCCTTCTTTCTTTGGTCGTTGGTCTTGATCGCGTCCTCACCTGTTGCTGTCAGACGAAATTAATATATACTTAGCTTACCTATCGCGTATCTCACGTTTTACTTACATCGGTTATCGCGGGTGTAGGGTCTTTGAACAGCTGTTGGCCATGACACACACTCAAAATAAATGTATAAAAAAGGATACAAATATACAAATATTGAATTGTACAACTTTTTAAATATATAAATAAATAATAATAAATACAGCCGTAAATGTAATTTCCCTCCCACCGTGATTCAATTTTTGCTATACCCCATAATGTACGTGCACTTTAATATTTACCGAAGTTTTAATTAGGGAACAGCCCCAGAGGTTTCTTTTATTGAATATTGTTTTCATAGACAACAATAAGATAATATAAGGAAAATAAAAGAAATAAGTAAGTGAACGAGCGAATGAATAAATAGGTAAATTATATATTTTAGAGAAATTTCATTTGTGTTATAGAAAAGTACAAGAAGACAAAGACATTGTCGATGGCATTCGTTTTTTGCTAAAGTGGTAGGGTCCAATTTGAAATCTTTAATAAGTGCCGTTAATGTTTTTCCGTGCCTGCGTGCGAAGTCGCGTTAACTCAAAATTTCGACGTGCTTACTTCTGCTCTTGCCTTCTGCATCAGCAAGATCTTTTCTAACATCCCCACCAACTGTTTCAGAGTTTCCAGCTACATTCCAGTCATCAGTCTCTTCATAAGTGCCAACATCACCATTGAATTTCTCTTCAGCAAAATCTTCACCTTCCGCAGGTTCTCCTTCGGCGACATCACTCACCACCGATTCTGAATCTTTCAGGAATTCACCATTGTATTCCTCATAACCATCGTCACTAAAGTCTTCGCTATACACCCAGTCTCTTCTTTCCTTATCTCTGCTTGATGGCTCTGCTTGACGATCTGCTAGCCTCAGAGGGACCAGCTCGTCTGGAAAAGTACCATGGACTTCGCCATTGTCTTCATATCCATCTTCTTCACCCTTCATCTCGGTTTCTTCTATGTCGAGATTTGCTGCTTGGACATCTCCTTGCTGCAATGCTGGCTCATCAATGAAAGATTCACAGCTACACGGAGCAAGAAATAAAATGGCAACGACCATAAAGGAAGCACACATCGACTGTAGTCGCGTAATCCTCATGTTGTTATTCTAAGGAGTGTTCTCTCCAGCAGGTGAGACAAATCAGGGGATTTTCTCAATCAGCCCATATTTATGTGAGAAGATCCCCAAGAAAATAACGGCCCAATGTACCAATATCAGAAATTCTACTATTGGTAGCCTCGATGTTTGGTGAAAACAATTATTTTTGCACGCAAATATTGGATACTTTGTGCTAATATATCATATCTGATAAAACCTTCGTAAAATATCTTCTTTTTTTTTCATGCTTTTCGACGCCATCCTAATGCATCAATGCAATATCACGAACTGAGAATAGAAATAATCCAGTAAAAAGTGCCTTGAGGTAAGAATAGAGTGCCTCATA